GCAATCCGCCTGCCTCAGCCTCCCAAAGTGCTAGGATTATAGGCGTGAGCCACCATGCCCGGCTATGAAAAGGAATTTTTATATCTAATATGAGCTTTTTAAAAGGGATTTGACTGAAACACAAGTTTGAGAATGGAACGTATTTAATATGATACTGATCAATTCTGATAATGGACAGTAATAATCACCAATCACTTATATGCTCTTGAAGAACTGAGTCTGTGCGTGTCTGTGTGTGGCGTATGTGTCCACACACATACGTGTGTGTGTGCATGCCACAGAGTTTGCATGTGGGAGCAGGATCTATGCAGCACACACATGCAGACTGTGGAGGAGGAAACCAGAGGTCATGGAACAGCGACTACATGCAGCCTCTTGTCAGAGACAAAACTGCCTCACGCTGGTTTCGGGAAACACCGTCGTTCCACAACACAGCTCTCGAGCCAACGGCTCTCAAGGTGGTTCCGCAGGACGCCGCGGTGACCTCAGCCCGAGAAGGACACGGGGCAGGTCTGAACGCGGTTACAGGGAGAGGACGCCTGTGCATTGCTCTTTGTGGCTTCTGGTGGGTGAATGCAACACTCAGGAGACGCACAGAGACCTTTTCTTTTGTATTTTTTTTTTTTTTTTTGAGACAGAGTCTCACTTTGTTGCCCAGGCTAGAGTGAGTGCCGTGGCGTCAGCCTAGCTCACAGCAACCTCAAACTCCTGGGCTCGAGTAATCCTTCTGCCTCAGCCTCCCGAGTAGCTGGGACTACAGGCATGCGCCACCATGCCCGGCTAATTTTTTATATATATATCAGTTGGCCAATTAATTTCTTTCTGTTTATAGTAGAGACGGGGTCTCGCTCTTGCTCAGGCTGGTTTTGAACTCCTGACCTTGAGCAATCCGCCCGCCTCGGCCTCCCAAGAGCTAGGATTACAGGCGTGAGCCACAGCGCCCGGCCTGTATTTTCTTTTCTATTCCAAATCGAATGCCACAGGATGTAGTAGAGAAGGCTGAAAATTGACAGTCTCTCTCATGGAGCATAAGCTGTGTTCGGTATTTTTTTTTTTTTTTTTTTTTTTGTGGAATATTAGTCAGGGCTGTCGCATTCCCTCCTGTCCCCGGCCACCTCCCAATCTGCCCTGCGTGATCGAGGAGGGTGTGGTGCCCAGGGAGTCTTGCTCGGCGGGGCCCAGTGGCTCCTCGAATTGCAAACGTCCCAGGGCACCAGCGTGGCAGGTGCCAGCAGCATGTGTCCCTTGCTGGTCTTTGTCATTTCTCCTCATCCTCATGGCCGCCTCCGAGGAAGGAGGCATAAAACCTCCCAGATAGTGTCTAACTGCCAACACCCAAGTGGGCAAACTGCTCCCTCTCTCCCCACGATGATCGCTGTGGTCTAAGGAAGAGGGGTCGACAGTTGTGGTTATTTCTATCGTCGCCAGTGTGGAGACACATGCTATTTTCACACTGGGCGGTGTCTAGGGAGGTCTCCCCCTAAGGCACATCACGGAAACATACTTGGATGACTTCCGGGTACCAACATGGGGGTTTCTTCTCTCTTCTCCAGGCCTTAGGGTGTAGCACCAAGACAGTCTATTGGATCTTCTCAAAGTGAAATTTCCTCTTTTGAGGAGCTGCGCTCTGTTTCCCCGTCCTTCAGGCCGACTCTGGCCCTGTGCGGTGCCCGTGGGCTGCGCCTGCCCCTGCCCCGGCCCCGGCCTGGCTCAGGCCTCGGAATGCCGCCCCACCTCCAGCTCGGACCCCTGGCTGAGTCCTCATGAAAATGAATCGGATTAGGCTGCTGAATCCCCCTGAACTCCCCGTCAGTCATTGCTCGTTGCTCCGAAGGTGGAAAAGGGCAGGAACAGGCAAACCCCGGGAAGCGCTGTTGGGTGCTGCCAGCCGGGCCTTTCCCCCCTGCGGAGGACAGCCCTGGGCCCACACCCCGCCCTGCCTGCGCCAGGCAGGTGCCCGGCGGGAGACGCCACCTGAGGACGCAGGGAAAAGCCACGGAGACCCAAAGACCATCCCTCTCCGACCTTCCTGTTTCCTTCCCATTCTCAGATGTCCTGCCACGAGTTACCTTGCCCTAATTGTGTGCTTAGACCCCTTTCTTGCCCACCTTGACTACTATGGGGACTTCCCTTCCCGCTTGGGGGCGGATGAGGCGAGCGGGAGGGAGGGAAGCATCACCCTCCTCCAGGAAGTCAGAGCTTCCCGAAAACACCGTGTGTCACAGTGGTTTCCCCTTGCGCTGTGCACGGTGGCCGCTCACACAGGCCTGGACCCCCTCCTCCTGCTGGGGTCCCCTGGCTCCAGCTGACGGACCTCAGGCCTTTCCTGGGCTCCCGGCCCCCCGGTGGGTGCTGTGTCCCGGCATCCCTGAGGGCAGCGAGAGCTCCTGGGTGCACCTGCCCTCTGCTCCCACATCCTGGCGTGGAGGGGACCCTGCCTGGAAGCCGGGGTGGCATTCGGAGCACTGGCTCTCCACAGCGGGGAGCTCTGCTGTTCAAAACCCGTGTTATTTAGAGGAAAAGGTGTGGTGATGACACGCAGGCTCTGAACAATCTGGTAGCTGTTATTTCGCTGACCTCATCCCCGACCACTCCCATTCGCGGTGCTCCAGAGCCACTGGCTCCTGGGTATTCTGTGAATGCACTGAATTATACCCTGCAAAATGTGGATGCTGATTTTCTAGCCTCCAGGACCTCAGAGTGTGACTTGTTTGGAAATAATATCATTGCAAATGTAATAAAGTTAAAATGAGGTTGCACTGGGTGTAGAGCGGGTCCCTAATCCAATATTACTGGTGTTGCAGAGAGTGAGAACTTGGACACAGACACACTAACAGGGAGAATGCCAGGTGACCATCAAGGCAGAGGTGGGTGTGATATGTAGAGCCCCAATGATTTCCGCAAACCACCGGAAGCTAGGAGAGAGGCATGAACAGATTCTCCCTAACAGCCTCAGAAAGAACTGCCTCTGCCAACGCCTTGACCTTGAACTTCCAGCCTCCGGAACCGTGAGACAGTACATCTCTGTTGTACAAGCCACTCACTCTGCGGTGCTTTGTTATGCAGCCCCAGCAGACTAATGCATACATATATTTTTTTATTTCCGCAGATTTAGGGTGTACAAATTGAGTTCCATTACATGTATATATTGTATAGTGGTGAAATCTGGGCTTTTTGTGTACCCATCACCCAAACAGTGTACATTATATGCAACAGGTAATTTTTGTTAAACACTCCGGGCACGCTCTGAGCTGTGGGGTTATTGCCTGGATGGTTTCTTCTGTCCAGACTCTCCCGAGAGGGTAGCAATGTAGGAAGAAGAACTCCTGAGGATCAGAGGCCAGATGTTTTGCATCCACTGGAATCTCTAGTTCATGCAGGTGTGCTCATGGCTGGCTCAGGTTGCCTGTGGCTGTGTGCAGACAGGGAACCCTGTCCCCCCAGGTGGAGGCTGCACTCGGCCTCCTGTGTACCTAAGTGTCCAGGTCAGCTTCGGTGCTCTTGGTCATGGACGGGACCTGACGTTCTCAAAGTCTACTGGCAAATGTCTGTCAAATCATCATCTTGTCATGACATACTACATTAGTTGAGTCAAAGATGATCTTCATTTCCTCAGAGTGAACATAAAATTATCATGCATTAAAGACATGACCAAAATCTGGAGGGAAAGAGTTAAAGGTATAATGTCTAAAGGCAAGGAGAAAAAACAGAAAAATGAAGAATGAGTCAAGTGTGAACACATAAAACTATATTTAGTTGAATTTTGAAATCATGGCATTATTTTATAATCACCTTAATCTTTCAATTATTAAAAGTCTTAAACATATAGTAACAAGAGGACATTGCTGCTTTAAGGCTAAAAATCCATCAGCATGGTGGTTATGGCATTTTGGTGATTTATGGATGTTTATGACTCACGTATGGATACGAACAGGGGCTGTCACCATGCCATCAACTTCCTTCCCAGGTCACTGTCGTGCCTTCCCATCCATGGACCAAGCCAAAGAGACAGAAATCCACAATTGCAAAACCTATCACACCTCCAGCAGGAAAGAACCCGTGGCAGGCCGCCCCGGGCAGGCTCGGGTAAACCAGCACGCCGCGGTGGCACGGACGGCTTTGGCCTGCGTCGCTTCCAGAAACAGAAATCAATACGGTACGCAGACGTTCTCATCACACGCGTGTCCCTCGTTAGGAGGCATGTTGTTCACTTGTGTGTCGGGCTCACATTTGCAAGAGTATGTATTTTGGAAAATTGAGTCAGCCTACTTTGCTATATTTTCAGGGGGTGGATGTGTCTTCTAAGACCTCAGTGCCAGAAAATCTTTGGGGTATCTGAAACCGAAACTTTTTAAAACTCTCTAATTTTATTTTTTTTTAAAGATTACACTTGGATTGCATATCACAGTTTACAAAGGAATTTCTTACACATTAAATCAGTTAAGACTGTTACCCAACCACAGGAGGGCCATTTTTTAAATACAATCTGAATTAAAAATTTCTACATTATATTATTTTAGAAATAAACATAAATTATTTAGTATAATATTAACGACTATAATATAGATAGGTAACTTCGATATGATATGCTATTTTTAAGAATAAGGCTCTATAATAATCACTTTTATAATTTAAATAATTAACATTGGCTATTTTAAGTGTGTATATTCATAATCTATTTTTAGTATGATTGCTAGAAATTTGGCAGTTAGGAGTATATTTAATCCCTTTAAAACATGAGGCTTATTCAATTTAGCCATGAAAAATATTTTCATTTAATATAAATCATGATGTGTTCCTTAACATTGCTTTCAATTACAAGTAGTCATTCGTTTTTTGTTTTTTGTTTTTTTTTTCATTTTATTCTGCTCTAGACAACAGTGTTGAAATAATAGATTAGCTGTAACAGGTTGATATTTCCAATAATTTTCCTCGTTGACTAGCCCAAGTACGATACCCACATCTTGGGCCAAGGACCATTTCTCTCATGTCTCCTCCAGCGGTTGCTACATCCTGCCGACGTGAGACGGTTTCCCAGCCTGGGTTTGGGCCTGCATTTTTCCGGATGCCTGCGAGCTGCCTCTGAGCTCACCTCCCGGACCGTCACCGTCCCAGCCTCCTCCAACAATGCGGGCGTAAGGACTAAGGAGTGTGGACAGTTCAGCGTACAGGGACGTTCACACGTTGGTGCCCCACCCCCTCTCTCCCGTCCCCAGCTCTTTTTCAGAGTCTCACCCTGCAAATGTGAGCCCGACACACAAGTGAACAACATGCCTCCTAACGAGGGACACGCGTGTGATGAGAACGTCTGCGTACCGTATTGATTTCTGTTTCTGGAAGCGACGCAGGCCAAAGCCGTCCGTGCCACCGCGGCGTGCTGGTTTACCCGAGCCTGCCCGGGGCGGCCTGCCACGGGTTCTTTCCTGCTGGAGGTGTGATAGGTTTTGCAATTGTGGATTTCTGTCTCTTTGGCTTGGTCCATGGATGGGAAGGCACGACAGTGACCTGGGAAGGAAGTTGATGGCATGGTGACAGCCCCTGTTCGTATCCATACGTGAGTCATAAACATCCATAAATCACCAAAATGCCATAACCACCATGCTGATGGATTTTTAGCCTTAAAGCAGCAATGTCCTCCCAGCTGACTGTGCATGATTAACAGGTAAGAATATGTCACCTGCAACAGAGAAGAGAAACAGAGACAGGATGGGGACTTACTAGCATGCAGGGAAGCAAATAGGGTATGGCAAAGAAAAAGGCAAAGTCTTACAGTTCTCTGTTTTTTCTAGTCATTTAGAAAATATTATTAAAGGCCAAATAATCTTCAGCGTTAATTACTTCTGAAAACTTATCTTAAGGACAGAATGGTGTAAATAAATTGCGCCCAACAGCCTACACGGGACTTTTCACATGTTATATCACTTAGTGATACTGTATAGTACATTATGCTATTTTATAACAGGAAGGAAAAATATTATAATAAACGCCAGCAAATTTAGAGCTAAATGAAAAATTATTTCAGTAAAATGTTACTAAGGCTACCGTGTAGATGTAACTATGTTTTAAAAGATTCTTCTTATTCTTATATAAAGTTATTAGAATTATATTCGTAAATTATTTAACATTTAATATTTAAACATGCAGATGAACACATAAGAGGGCATCAATATCCTTGGGACGAGGAAAAGATGAAGTCAGAATATGTACCCCATGAATATGTGTGATTATTATAGGTCAATTAAAAAAAGATAAGAAAAGAAAATGTTAATACGGGAACGTGCTCAAAATTCTAAAGTGTCCACGACCCGCCAGAGACTGTAAAGGACACGTAGGAGGAAAAGGTGGTTTGTTTCTACTCTCCTGTCACTAGTAGTATTATCAGGGAGAAACGACTCACAGACAAATATTAAATAAAACCCCTTCATGGGAGTGTTACCTTCTGACACTACAGAATTTCAGAGGGAGGAAACTTCTAACTACACGTTTGGTGGAAAGCTTCACAAGCCAGGGTCTGTGCACCACTATTCTGCACCTAAATTTGGAACAGTAAAGAGACAAGGAAGACAGAGATCAAGACAAGTTTTTACCTGTGTTAAGGCTAACGTCTAGACGGCGGTGTGGTTTATTACTGTGTCCTCAGTCAGCCAGCGACTCGACACGCCGGCATTAGAGGGATTCCCCAGCCGGTCACGGGCAGCCCCAGACGAGCCTGGCTGCACGACGTGGAGAAGCGAACCAGCTGTGTGTCCAGGGGGTGGGTGTCACCCAAAGTGAAGGAAGAGGAGAGGAGCTGAGCCACGTGTGCGCAGGTGCTGGTGGCCAAACGACGCATCAGGACAGTGAATGTTCCCGGCACAGAGGGATGACGAGTGTTCGAGATGACAGGTGTGCTACTTACCTCCTCTGATCCCTACCCATTATGTGCATCGAAACGTCACTGTGGACCCCGTGAATCTGTACACTTATTATAGGTCAATTAAAAAAAGAAAAGAAAAGAAAATTTTAAAAAGGGAATTTGTCCCTTTTTAGGAGGAGGAGTAGGAGGAGAGCCCAGGAGAGTTAAACTGATAAATATCCTTCCATTGGAAAAGAAATATCAGAAGCCATTAAAAAAAAAAAGTTTTCACACACCCAAAAAAGATCTGATAGGAAAACAGTGTTGGGGTAGACGCCACGCCTTGAATGTTAGAGCTTAATGCGATATCAAAAATGAGTAGTCATTATTTTGAGAAAACAGTGTGCTAATCTTATAGTAGTTCACAAACTTCGGCCATGCATATGTGCAGAAATGTCCCACGCCATGTTTTTGGAGTATCGAGTTGAAAATCTATGGCCTGTACTCTGCAGGAGCTCACGGCTTAGTGTGGGAACTAGATTAAGAATAATTATCGTACCAAATAAGAAACACCATCTTGGTTTTATGTGTGTGTGCTATGGTGGTGGAATGCGCATAGCACAAAAGATGTGTGTGGACCTCACCACCACAGCAGCAGGGCTCCAGGACGGCAGAGGGTTACGGGAAAACAGCCATCAGATCTGCGAGGCAGATGAGAGAGGCCACCCGGAGGAGGGGGTGGCCAAAAAGTTTGTCACCAGCTGGATAAAAGCAGGGAGATGCATTTCATAGAAAAAAAAATGCTGTTGCTATAGACACTAGCTGGCTGTAATAGACGGATGCAGACCGTGGACAGGAGGAGAAAGATATGGTTGAAGGCATGAACACCAACAAGGGCGCTACTGAGAAAGTTCAGGCATGGATGCAGTAAGAGTTAAGACGTAGGAGCTACACTGTGGCAATGCGTGTTAAACACATTACGAACACAGGATTGACATTAGGGCAAGACAGCTGACTCGAGGCAGCTGGGGCATGCCTCTTCTTTAGAGAAGACCCACAATATAAATTAGGTATCCATACTGCAAATAGATTGTCTGGAAAAGAAAGTTGGAATACAACAGAGAGGAGATAAGGGGCACCAGGGGTGCAGGGAGGGGAAGTGGGACTGCCCACTGGGGTCACTGAGAGCCTTGGGATCCGGACCCAGGGAAGAGGCAAGTGAGAGACGCCCCCCGCCCCCAGAGCTCCACACTCCCACCATGCACGTTTGCAAATCCCAGCTACAGACCGCTGGGCCCCCGCAGGCTTCCAGATGGGCACAGGGTGAAGGGTGTGGCTCAGAGGCCACGCAGAGTCTCTGCTCAAACCCACATGGAGTTCCACTGGCTTCTGAACCCTGGGCAGGTGCAGGGCGGAGCCATCGTGGGGGCCCATCCCCCGCGGGCTTGGCAGACGTACAAAGTCATTACTATTTGCCTTCATAGTCATGTACGTTATTCCATTTTAATACAAACCCCGGTCCCGAGAGTAACCTTTTCTTATTGATCCATTATGCTCCATCTTCAGCCTAGCCGTTGATGATATTATCTTCTTTTTCTTTTTGACCACAGGTAATTCTCCTATGGCTTCTGGCTGTAACTTTTGTCCCTAAGGTCATTGCTCTGCTCCTGCCAGCAACTAAGCTGATACCCTAATGCTGTCTTCCAGAAAGGCTCTTTCCTTTGTTATATTTCGTCTTTATCCTGGGTCCTGTCCGGAACACTCAGTTTTACTCTCAGAGATCCAGACCCATTACATTGGTCATGTTCTTTTGGGTCAGAATATCAAGGATTCTTCTGCCTGGAAGAAAATATCAGAAACTGGAAACAGCAGTTGCTTCCAGGAAGAGAATTGAGAGACAAAGGAAAGAAGAATGGCAAACAGACTTACTCATTACTGAATATAATTTGTTCTGTTTTTTTTTTTTTTTACCATGTGCACAAATAAGATAGTACAATTACTTAAATCTTGACAAAATCTGTAAAGAATCTTAATAGCTAGTTCTGCCACCACCTGCCATTTTCTTCCCAGAATAAAACATTTTCTTATTAAAAAAAGTCTTCACATCCACCAACTCTAATTGGAAAACTTCATCTGGGAAAGGAAAAAATGACATTGGTTGATCTTGTGTGATGTTCCAGACACTTTATCACCTCATTAATCCTAGTAGGAATCCAAAATTTGCCATCTTCGAAGGCGAGTATTCTTGTTGACACTTCACAGTGAGGGGCCAGGCTCAGAGAGGTCCAGCCTCTCCCCCAAGTTCACACAGATATCAAATATCGGAGGTGGGGCTGGGATCCAGTCACCTGTGGCTTCTAAGATCCTGCTTCGTTTCGTTTTGTTTTTCCCCACTCAAAACAATATCTATAAGATTCAGCTTCCCTTCAGATAAGTACCTGTTCATATTTTTTCAAAAAGTTTTTAATATATTCTTACATGTTAACAATTCTCATCCTCCTCAAGCAGTTTAAATGCTTAAAACCCTCCAGTTTGGGCAAGAGAGCAAGACCCTGTCTCAAAAAAACAAAAACAAAAAACAAAACAGACAACAACAAAAAACCCCCCCAAAACAAAACCTTAAAGCTCAATATTTACATGTTGCAATGTTCTCCTGTTCCTCACCGTAATCTCTCTCTCTTTTTTTTTTTTTTTCTTGAGACAGAGTCTCACTCAGGCTAGAGTGTCATGGCATCAGCCTCGCTCACAGCAACCTCAAACTCCTGGGCTCAGGCGATCCTCCTGCCTCAGCCTCCCGAGTAGCTGGGACTACAGGCATGCACCACCATGCCCGGCTCATTTTTCCTATCTATTTTTAGTTGTCCAACTAATTTCTTTCTATTTTTTTAGTAGAGACGGGGTCTCGCTCTTGCTCAGAGCTGGTTTCCAACTCCTGACCTCTAGCGATCCTCCTGCCTAGGCCTCCCAGAGTGCCAGGATGACAGGCGTGAGCCATGGCGCCCGGCCTCTCACTGTAATCTCTTAAAAGGCACACTTGCCACAGACGTCAATATTTTTCCCATCGTGCAGGATGTCTCCTAGTGAGAGCACCATTCCTTTCCTTCCTCTAACCCAGGCCCCTCAAGCCTAGCACTGTTGACATGTGGGGCTAGAAAAGTCTTTGTTAGGGGTAGGGAGCGAGTCAGCCTTTGCACCCCAGGACGTTTCGCCGCACCCCTGGCCTCTACCCACTAGTTGCCAGTCCACAGTAGCATCCACCCGGAGTTGTGACAACCCAAAAAACGTCTCCAGGTATCCCTGCTGTACCCTCGAGTGAAGTCATCCCAAGTTGAGGACCGCTTCTCTATTTTTTAAATTTAATTAAATTAATTAATTAATTAATTAATTAATTTTTTGAGACAGAGTCTCACTCTGTTGCCCGGGCTAGAGTGCCGTGGCGTCAGCCTCGCTCACAGCAACCTCACACTCCTGGGCTCAAGCGATCCTCCTGCCTCAGCCTCCTGAGTAGCTGGGAGTACAGGCATGCACCACCATGCCCGGCTAATTTTTTATAGATATATATATATATTTTTTTTTTTTTTTTTTTTTTTTCACCTTTGAACTTCTTTTTTTTTTTTTTTTTTTATATTATGGGGGTACAGATTTTAAGGTTTCAATAAATGCCCATTTCCCCCCCTCCCCCCAAAAGTCTGAGTCTCCATCATGACCATCCCCCAGATGGTGCACATCTCACTCACTATGTATGTATATACCCGCCCCCCTCCCCCCTCCCACCTGCCCAATACCCTATTACTGTAGCACCTATGTGTCCACTTAGGTGCTACTCAGTTAATACCAGTTTGCTGGAGAATATATCTGGTGCTTGTTTTTCCATTCTTGGGATACTTCACTTAGTAGTATGGGTTCCAGCTCTAACCAGGAAAATATAAGGTGTGCTATATCACCATTGTTTCTTAGAGCTGAATAGTACTCCATGGTATACATATACCACATTTTATTAATCCATTCTTTGATTGATGGGCACTTGGGCTGTTTCCACAGCCTTGCAATTATGAATTGTGCTGCTATAAACATTCGAGTGCAGTATATATATTTTTTTATTTCGGCATATTATGGGGGTACAGATTTTAAAGTTTCAATAAATGCCCTTCCCCTGTAGATATATTTTTATTTGGTCAATTAATTTCTTTCTATTTTTAGTAGAGATGGGGTCTCGCTCTTGCTCAGGCTGGTTTCGAACTCCTGACTTCGAGCAATCCGCCCGCCTCGGCCTCCCAGAGTGCTAGGATTACAGGCGTGAGCCACCGCGCCCGGCTAAGGACCCATTCTCTAAAGAAATACTGATTTTAAAAATTAGGCCTACTAGCTGATGATTCTGCATGAAAAACAAACAACGCTCATGGCCAGCAGAATAGCTTGCTCGACCCCATCAGATGGAACGCTCCCTGGGTAGGTAGCATCCACATTTATGAGCTGAGGAAAGTGTGCTTTAGAGAAGGTAAGTATCTTTCTCAAGCTCCAAAATTAATCGGTGACGGAATGGAATTCTAACTCGAACCTGACTGAGTCCACACCTGCTGTGCTCTCCCCGCTCATTATAACACGAGACGGTAACTCTCAGTCACAGAAAGCTGCGTACCCTCCTTACAAAGGAAGATTTTCTTAAGAGCAACGTGGCTAGACGAAATGTCAGAAGAAACTGTCCTATGGCAGACACATCAATCAATGTAGAATAAAAATACTTGTACGTGTGAGAAATTTCTCTCCATTCTTTGTTTTAGAGTTTTTATTCTATCATTTCTGAAATGGGCTTAAGTGATTTGTAGGGTTTTAATATAGAAACTTTATTTTTGAAGATGATATTTTCCTTCTGGACTGCATTTATTGCCAGACAGCTGAGAGATAATTAATAACATCAGGTCCCTCTGAGAAAACCAGAATCCATGCATATTTCTTGGAAAGAAATGATTAACTCTTTATTCTTAGTACACACAAAAAAACAAGGAATAAAAGACAAGCGTTAGGTTGGCAATTATGGGAGTCATTTTTCCTGTCCACTTTTTCCTGCAAACTACTCAAGCTCGACTGGCAGAGGTTGGGAGACACCATTGAAAACTGAGCTCTCTGTAAATTGATGCTTAAAAATAAATCGAATCCGGCCACTTTGGAAACTAGTTTGGCAAATTCTTTGAAGCGCTAAACAGGGAGTTACCCATATGATCCCAGAATTTCATTCCTAAGTGTGTGCATTCAAGAGAAACGGAACACACGTCCACACAAAGACTAGTGCATGAATGCTCATGGTGCAAAATTCATCACAGGCAAAAAGTGGCAACAACTCAAATCTCTACCAACGGGCAAACGGATGAACAAGGAGTGGTATATAGCCTTGTGATGGGTTATTATTCAGCCACAAAAGGAATGCAATGTTGACACTTGGTACAACATAGATGAACCTTGAAAACATTATGCTAAGTGAAAGAAGCCCATCACAAAAGACTATACGTTGTATGATTGCAATTACATGACGTGTCTGGGATCAAATCTATAGATATAGAAAATATAGTAGTGGTTGCATAGGGCTGGGAGGGTAGAGTGACTGGTACTGGGCACAAGATTTCTCTTGAGGGTAATAAAAATGGTCTAAAATTGATTCTGGTGATGGTTACACAATGGTATAAATATGAATATATTTTAAAACATCAAATTATACCATTTAAGTTGGTGAATTAAATGCTATAGGAATTATAAAAATACCTTCATTTAAGCAATAAAATCTGTTATTGAAATCATTTTAAAATGGGTCCATTCATAATCAACTCCCTGTACAACCTGCAAATATAAAAAAAGATATGGTCAATGAACATAGTAAATCTCTATAAAGAATCCACTGTCCATACGTGATACACATAATTATGAGTTTGTGAATATTCCTTTCTAGAAATCACAAGAGAGTATCTTCACAGTCTTACGCTGTATATTAAACTAGGAGCTATAAAATTAAAAGTTGATAAATTAGACTTTATAGATTATATTCTGAGATATTTTGTTTGACATGTTAGTATATCAGAGTGTTTTGCAAAAATAAAAACAAACAAAGAAAGAAAACATAATGACTTCTAAGTGCCCGGCCACTTAGTTTGTGAATTTTACCTACTTTGTGAATTATAAATACAGAAGATCAAAATTGATGTTTTAATGATATGGTAATTTGTGCAAACCAATGTTCTCTTTAATCTGTTAATTTTGCTACGTGGGTACCTCTAAAACCAAATGCATGTGATCAAAGTTTATAGTGTAATCAGATGAACTTACATCTGTGTTAAGTTCTCGTTTTAATGATGGAGTCACAATTGACCATGAATAAAACTGTTTTGGCATGAAAAAAAAAATCAAAGCACACCATAAGTAAATTAAATATGTAAGCCATATACTAGGAGAAAACATTTGTAATACACATATTTGTAATACACATATGTGGCAAAGAACTTGAATCCAGAATATACGAATAATTCTTACAACTGGAAAATAAGAAAAACAATCCAATTTTTTTACAATTGAACAAAAACTGGAACAGACACTTCACAAAAGAAAACAAAGGCCAAAAGGACATAAAATGTTGTTCAACATCCTCAGGTATCAGAAAGATACAAATTAAAATCACCATGAGATAATAATTCCCATGCATCACAATGGCTAAAATCAAAAGGAATGACAATACCAAATGTTACCAAAAATGTGGAACAGCTAGAGCTCTCATGCATTGCTGATGAGTTCAACCTTCAGTGAAAATTTTTGACAGTTTCTTACAAACATCTACGTATCCTGTAATCGAGAAATTCTACTCCTAGGTACTTACTCAGGAGAAATGAACACACAGGTCTATAAGAAAAAAACCACAAAAAGGTTCTTTCAAAAGTGTTAGAAATGTTCAAGGCAACTCTCTGCACAATAACGAAAAACTGAAAACAACCCAAAGGCCCACCAATAGGAGAACGGGTAAGCAGTTTCACATCCTCCAGTCTCTTGCGGTTGATTGCGTTGTGCAAGT